TGGGCACTCAATGCAATATACAGATGATATATCATAGAATTGTATGCTCAAAACATATATACTCTTATAACCAATGTCATCCAAAAAAATTTAATTTAAAGATAAAAAAAGAGAAAATAAAAAAATAAAACTTGAACCCTGTGGGGTTGGGGAGAGAGACTAAGTCTTTGCCAAATCAGATTTCCTTCTTTAGTACCGTGGAAGTACTATCACCTCAAATAACAAACTTGTATCCTCTGAGCCTAAATACGGAAATGGTGAAGAGAAAAGCAAAAAGGGAAGAGTTGAAGAAAAGAGAAAGAATTAGGACAATTGGGACGGAAAAGTGTTAGTAGAGAAAAAAAATCAAATGGCTGAAGGCTGCCAAATTATGAACTAGCTTTTAAGAGAATATGCCGAATTTCACATGGGCCTTCTGTTTTTGTCCACAAGATTAATTGGAGTCAAGAAACCACTATGTTCTTTTTCATGTGGTCAGGACACAAACAATCTGGTTGGCAGAACAGTTTTTGAAGGGAAGAAGTAACAAAACAACTCTATCAGGTTAGGAATAAACAGTTCAGGAAAAAAAAATATATTGTCACTTAGTTGACTGATATCTCCTAGGTTTTTCTAGAACCAAGTTAATTCCAGAGTCTATAAAAGTCATGGTTCTGTGATTCATTTAACAATTGTTTTAATGTAAGTTTTCATGCTGGTTTTCCAGATTTATGCTAAAAATAAGAAAGGAAACGGTCCCTGAAAACACAACCAGACTTCCCCGCACCCCCCCACCCCACCCCATTTCAAACCACAGTGAAAATGCGGAAGTAGGAAACACCTGGACCAGCTCCAAGCCCACACAGAAGTGAACCTCAGGCCTGAATTATGGCTTGGCTCTGCAAAAGATGATGCCAGACAGTTGCACATGCTCAAACTGAGAAAGAAAGCAGACACGAGACTTCCCTCTTGCCTCTTTTTTGGGGAAGTGAAATTATTTTTCTGTAACACAGTTGGATAGCTTATGAAAAAAAGTTAGCTATTTATTTTAGAGATCAAAATTCAGTTTTCAGACAGGGGCCCTTGAGGGTAGCCATCTGGAGAGTTTATGCGATTGCATAAGCACTTCAGTATAAGAAAAAAGTAGAGGAAATTTCTGGTGAGCAGAGTAAAGCAAGAAAGAAGTGGGGGTAACACTCAGGTCAAACTCTTTGTGCTGTTTCCTCACCCTTGACCACTGTGAGCAGCAATGCCTGCTGCTGGCCTGCAAATTTAAGTTGAACTGAAATTCCCATCATTTGCACTTCTCATTTTATTGTTTCCCAGGGAACATAAAAGAGAACTTCCTTAAGCACAGCAATCACAGAGTCATAGGCTTTGGGTCATTTTAGATATATGGAAATTTCAGAAATAATTTCTTCTTCTTTTCTAAATGTATACTTGTCAGACATTTTCTTGAGTACAAAAGTAATGATTACTCAGTACCCATCCCTGTGTTTGGTACTTAGTAGATTTCTAAGAAAAGTTTGTCAAATTATTAAAGACATGCTCATTGTTGAAAAATCAAAAATCACAAAGAGGAAAAAGTTTAAATAATTCATACAATTATAAACCAAAATTAACTTTAGGCTTATAAAGAATAAAAAGCATTTATTTGAGGCAAAAGGAGCTGCAGCCTGGGAGCCACAGATTCAAGTAAAAATCTAAATTGTGTTCCACTGAGACAAAGGAGAGGCTACACTTTCTACAGTGAAAATTTCCACTCATTTGTCAATTAGATTATTTTATGTAAATGAGGTAGCTAAATCTTAAAGTTCTGATTGGTCTAAATCAGTGGTCAACAAACTCATTAGTCAACAGAGCCAAATATCAACAGAACAATGATTGAAATTTCTTTTGAGAGCCAATTTATTTATTTATTTATTAAAAAAAAAAAAATATATATATATATATATATATATATATATATATATATATTATTGATTTTTCCACAGAGAGGAAGGAAGAGGGATAGAAAGCTAGAAACGTCGTCGATGAGAGAGAAACATCAACCAGCTGACTCCTGCACACCCATTACTGGGGATGTGCCCGCAACCAAGGTACATGCCCTTGACTGGAATCGAACCTGGGACCCTTCAGTCTGCAGACCGATGCTCTATCCAATGAGCCAAACCAGTTTCTGCTGAGAGCCAATTTTTTTAAATTTAAATTTCTTCTAATGCCACTTCTTCAAAATAGACTCACCCAGGCCATGGTATTTTGTGAAAGAGCCACACTCGAGGGGCCAAAGAGCTGCATGTGGCTCGAGAGCCGCTGTTTGCCGACGATGGATTTAGATCATGCAGTTTTGATTGGCTGGTATAGGTGCAAGTAACTTGAACAGTTCTGATTGGACCCAGCATGTTTCAGTGATAGATGAAATCAGGGCTTCCTTGCAGTGGTTGACTCAGATGGTATAAAGGGGGCGTGGAGGGCCTAGTGTGGGAAGCCAAAGGTCCAGTCTTAGGTTCTTCCTGCTATACAGAGTACATGAGGAACCCCTGCCAGTAAGCAGCCACTAGATTCTAGTATTCATAAGATTGAGGTCCTCAGTTGAACATGGGGATTCCTCAGCAGATAAACTTCTTGGTAGGTCACATCAAATGATTCTTTTATCTCAAGGTCCACAAAACTTTACCAACCAGATACAACTACTGTCAACAGGTATATATTTATACACAGCTGAGGTCATGTTGAATGTATACCATTTTTTAAAATCAACATTATGGCATAAGAATTTCTCATGTTATTAAAATTGTTTGAATATTTAACTATGATGGCTATAATATATTATGTCATATGGATGCAATATAATTTCACTCCTATTGGCTCTTTTAGCTATTTTCAATTTTTGCTATGATAAAAATGAAGAAGAAAGCTCTCCAAAAAAATGACAATGACTGGGTGTGCTAGAATGTGGGAACACCTGAATATAGAATTATTGATATTCACCTTTCTTATATTCTCATTGCAGAAGATTTATTAACAGGATTTATTAAAGGGATAATAAAGAGTACAACATTGTTAGCATGTCTTCAAAACTGTATGAGAGAGTTTTCTGATTATGATGAATTAACCCTGAAACAGTTTGAAGAAAAGTGTGTGGATATTTTAAACAGACTTATTGGAAGTACCAAAGGGCATTTAATTCTACTTTTTCTAATTCTTGGATTATTCTACTGAACTATACATTTATAACTGATTTGGAAATTGACCAGGACGTCCTGTGCATAGCTTCTCTAGCCAAGTACATACTGAGCACTAGTTGATAAATTAATCCTTCTTGGGTGTAGATGAATTCCCTGAAGTGTGATAACTGAGGTATGAATAGGCCCAGAATGGCTATTTCTAGATTTACAGAACACAATATAATTATTATCTTAATAACAACTAGTGAAGGTCACCCCATGAAACTAGGCAATTGCCCTCAAGATTTCTGAAAACCCATGACACTCTGAGAGAATTCAGTTCCTTGAAACTGCCTTTCCAGGATGCACACAGGTGATAGTATAATGATACTTAACAAATCGAAGCATAACTTTTTCAACCTCAGCACTGCATCTCCTTCATGGTTTGATTTGGGGAGACATTAGAGTGCATTGGGGATCCCATTAACTCCAATGGATTCTCTGACTACCATTAAACATCCTAAAATGCACCCTAATTGTCCCAAAGAATTGACAGATCTGGGCTTTAAATAATCCTTGCATGAGATCAATGAGCCTAAACACACTATTATAAATTATGGGTTCTAATGCCCTAACATTAGTATATTAAAGAAAATTTGTGAAATTGTGAATTGTTGCTTTAAAAATTGAGTAATGGAGACTTATATTCTTTTATGGGCACCTGTACTGATTATATGGACTTAACAATGGAATGAGCTGAAACCAGTTTGGCTCAATGGATAGAGAGTCAGCATGGGGACTGAAAGTTCCCAGGTTCGATTCCGGTCAAGGGCATGTACCTTGGTTGCGGGCATATCCCCAGTAGGGGATGTGCAGGAGGCAGCAGATTGATGACTCTCTCTCATTGATGTTTCTAACTCTCTATCTCTCTTCCTTCCTCTCTGTACAAAATCAATAAAAATATATTTAAAAAAAGAATAGAATGAGAGGTATAACAGCAGCTACCAAATTATTACTAGCTAAACACACACACACACACACACGGTGTATAAGTGTGTATATACATACTGTATATTCTTTGGCCACTGTCTGCTATTTCTAAATCAAAATCTAGATTATAGTGTGGATTTTCTCCTTGTTTAAACATTTCTATCTGAAAAGAAACAACAGTACAGAGTAGGCCTTCTCACCTTCAATCTGAATGCTGAGGACAATGCAGACTGAGGTTTCCAGTGTGAAGCAAGTGGAATTTCCTTCAGATCCCTTCAACTCTGCCTTAGATAATGCCACTTCCAAAGCCGGGACTATTAGGGCTTATCACAATGAAATTCCACAGGATTTGTGTCCAATATTTTCACTCCTTTTTTCTGTGGGAACAACCTTCAACCTCAGGTAAATTGGATACCCAGGCTTTGGCCATGACCTACCTCTAGGCTAGGTATGGAGAAGTTGATGTCTTAGCAAGAATGATATTGTCATTTACCTCTGCATTTGCAGTTTGAAGAAACTAATATTGGAGTTCCAGCAAAGAGCAGACAGAAAAAATTTGAAACACTAAGAGAATGAATCGAAAGCAAAAATCTTTTACAGAAGGAAAACTCATGTAGAGGAAACAGGTGTGTGGTTGCACTTCTGAGTACCCCCTACTACTATAGTGTAACCACCTGGGGAGTCCTGGGGGACAGTTAAGGTAGTTAATTGTTAAGGTTATATGGTACACCATAACGTTTTAAAAGTCCTGATGGACCACAGTATTCCAATCGACTCATTTCCCCATTTTGCAATTACAGTAGCCTAAAGCGGAACTGCTGGCTTTAGGAGAACTACTGATTTTTTTTTTTTTTTTTTGGTAGTTTCAACATTTGCTCTTTCACATTGGTTCTACTTGCACCACACTTGCTGGATGCTGCTTAGAGCTGGCTTGCTGCTGAGGCTGTCTGAACCATGACCAGCTTCAGGGGTGCCATCCTCCTCTGGACAGTGGCAGCATGGGCTAAGATGGACAAGCCTCAAGGAGAGGCAGATGAGGCTGGATTTCAAAAATGCAAGAAGGCCTTAAATCTACCTATTCTGGAAGTCTTACCTGGAGGCGGCTGGGATAATTTACGGAATGTGGACTTGGGACGGGTGTTGGACTTGACTTACACCGACTGCAGGACCACGGAGGACGGCGAGTACATCATCCCTGATGAAATCTTCACCATTCCCCAGAAACAGAGCAACCTGGAGATGAACTCAGAAATCTTGGAGTCCTGGGTGAATTACCAGAGCAGCACCTCCTTCTCCATCAACACGGAGCTCTCCCTTTTTTCCAAAGTCAACGGCAAGTTCTCCGCAGAGTTCCAGAGGATGAAGACTCTTCAGGTGAAGGACCAAGCTGTAACCACCCACGTCCAGGTAAGAAACCTGATCTACACAGTCAAAATCAACCCAGTTTCAGAACTAAACTTGGCGTTTAAGAAATTGCTCCTGGACATCTCTGACCGTCTGGAGAACAACCAGACACGAATGGCCACCTACTTGGCAGAGCTCCTGGTCCTCAACTTTGGCACCCATGTCATCACCAGTGTGGATGCTGGGGCTGCTCTCATTCAGGAAGACCACATCAGATCCTCCTTCCTCCAGGACAGCCAGAGCAGCCGTAGTGCTGTGACTGCCTCTGCCGGAGCTGTCTTCCGAAACATTGTGAACTTCAAATTTGAGGAGAACTATACCTCACAGAATGCCTTCATCAAAGGCTACCTCTCAAACCGCACCCACTCCAGGGTGCAGAGCATTGGAGGGGTTCCATTTTATCCAGGCATCACCCTCCAGACCTGGCAGCAGGGCATCACCAACCACCTGGTGGCCATAGACCGTGCTGGCCTGCCTCTGAATTTCTTCATCAACCCTGACATGCTGCCTGACTTGCCAGGGCCGTTGGTGAAGAAGTTGTCTAAGACGGTGGAATCTGCTGTGAAGCGCTACTACACGTTCAACACCTATCCTGGATGCACAGATATCAACTCACCCAACTTCAATTTTCACGCCAACACTGATGATGGCTCTTGTGAAGGGAAAATGACCAACTTCTCCTTTGGTGGGGTTTATCAGGAATGCACTCAGCTGTCAGGACATAGGGCTGTCCAAGTCTGCCAACACTTGGAGCAGAAGAATCCACTCACTGGTAACTTTTCCTGCCCCTCTGGCTACTCCCCAATCCACCTGCTGACCCAGATCTATGAGGAGGGCTACAATGACATGGAGTGTGTCCGGAAGTGCACCCTCTGGGTCTTCTGCAAGACGGTGTGTGAAGATGTGTTCCGAGTGGCAAAGGCTGAATTTAGGGCTTTTTGGTGTGTGGCCAGTGGTGAAGTGCCAGAAAACTCAGGACTACTTTTTGGGGGCCTCTTCAGTGCTAAGAGCATTAACCCTCTGACAAATGCACAGTCATGCCCAGCTGGCTATTTTCCACTAAGACTCTTTGAAAGCCTCAAGGTATGTGCCTCTCAGGACTATGAGTTGGGATATAGGTTTTCGGTCCCCTTTGGTGGGTTCTTCAGCTGTGCAGTTGGGAACCCCTTGGTGGATTCTGCCATATCCAGAGACTTAGGGGCACCTGCTCTGAAAAAATGTCCTGGGGGCTTTAGCCAACATCTAGCCCTCATCAGCGATGGGTGCCAAGTATCCTACTGTGTCAAGTCTGGGATCTTTACGGGAGGGTCTCTGCCCCCTGCCAGGCTCCCACCTTATACCCGGCCACCCCTTATGAGTCAGGCTGCCACGAACACTGTCGTAGTGACTAATATTGAGACTTCAAGCTCCTGGATTAAAGACCCCCAGACCAACCAGTGGAGGTTGGGAGAGCCATTAGAGCTTCGCAGGGCCATGAAGGTCATCCATGGGAATGGTAGTGGTCTGTCGGGGGGAGCAGCTGCTGGGGTTACAGTGGGGGTCACCACCGTCTTGGCAGTTATTGCCTTGGTGATCTATCGCATTCGGAAATATAAGAAGAAGGGATACCAGGCAATTGAGGACGAGAGGCAGAGTTTGGCTCCTGGTACTGCAGGGACGGAAGACATTCCAGACCAAGAGCAGGAGCAGTGTCCAGCCTAAATCTCCCCTGAGAAAATGCTTCATTTGAAGGCAGAGCTTCAAGCATGTGTCTCTCATTCCTTCTCTCTACATTTCTGCCTTTCTAACTACTGAAGTGGCAAGTGCAACCAAAAGCAGGTATACCTTTGGTCTCTGGGCAAGGAAATTAATAGAGTTACTTGGGCGAGTTTGGGGTGAGGACTGGGGAGGAATTGTGACTTTCTAAGCACAAGTCATTCTGGGGATTAAAACATGAAATGGGTATCTTTTCTCTATGTTCACCATTAATTATTTTCATCTGAATGCATACATGTAAAAAGTCGGGTATAAGGTGGGAGAATGTTGACATTTGAGTTTGGAAATGATGTATTTAATCTGAGGTTGACTGTGGTTTCCAATTCAAGAGCTATAAGAATTTTTATCTTGAGAAAGAAAGAAAAAAAAATAATTTCTGCCTTTAAGTGTTACCCTCCAGCCATTTTGTTTTAAAGATATGTCTGGATCTCATGTTCCCAGAGGCTGACAGAGCCTCTAGAGGACATAGGAGTCCTGTTTGGCCACGGCTTTTTAGCTTTGAGGGCTCTGCATTTGAGGGCTGTGTCATCTCCTCTGGGCCATCTCATCATCATCTGAACAGACACATGTTGCTTATACCAAACCTATGTTTTCCAACTTCCACAAAATTTAATGCTTACTTAGACTAGACCACCTTTGGACTTTGGACTAGTTCATAAAGTCCTCAGAAAATATTTTAATTTTTAACTTCTATTAGGATGTCAAAGGAGAAGGAATAATACGTAGAAAAGGAGTAAAAGAAGAAAGGATAAAAACTGGAAAAGGATCTGGTACTCAGGGGAAATTGAAACTCTTACCCACAACCCACTACCTCGCTTCTTTCTCTCAGCTTCTCATAAACAGGGCAAAGAAAAGAGCATAGATTTTGGGTGGTTTAAGTATTGCAGTTTCCTGGTCTATATTACCAAAGTACAACCCCTTCCTCTTTCATGAATGGCTCTTGTCTTTCCTGACTCCTATCACATGCACTCCCTGCCTCACACACCACATTCCAACATGAAGTTTGCATTTTTCTGGGGATGGGAGACAAGGAATACAGCCAAAAGGCAAAGTAAGTCCACAGCTAAGTTTTTCATTTTCCTGAAAACCAACACAGACTAGACACTGCATATGTGCCCTGCCTTTATCTTACCAGAAGCAAGGAGGCCAGCATGATCAAATCCATGCTATTAAATGAAGTGAAAAGGGCATTCAACAACATTAGTGACGTATTTCCTTCAGTTCCAGGCTGACCTCCTGGAGGCACCCAACAGGATGCATGCCTGTTACCTGGCACTTGAGGCTTCACCCAGTTTTAGTACCAATCTCACCTAACTACAATGATCAGGGAGACTCTATCAGTGTTCCTCCACAACATTTTAAAAAAGTTATACACTTCTCACCAAATCAAATGTCATTAGTGAGTGATCTTCTGTGGAGGATAGTTTGTCCGCCCCGGTTCACATTCACAATTAGGAGCTTGGGTTTACCACTGGTTCTTCTTCGGAGCGGCTTGGAGCATCCCAGCCTGTGAGGCCACAAGAGGGAGGATCATCCCTCAACCGCTGCTGTGATGAAGAGAAGTGACAGAAGTGGAGCCAAGCCAGGGGCACCAATGTCTACAACCCCTTCACTTGACCTCGTTTCTTAAGCATTAAAATGTTCCTCTAAACTTCTGAGTGTTTTGTGGGTTCGTTTCAGCCAAACTAACCACTTTTTCTGCACATACTGCTGTTCCCAGGAATTCTTTGAACATGACTGAGTCAGAGAGACAAAGCAGAACTGTGGCTTCCAGACTTTCAGTGCACTAACTGCCCATGCGAGTGAAAACCTTGGCTAACTTATTTAACTTTACTTTCCCTCCATCACCATTTATACCCTCTATACCCTTTCCCACCTCCTCCGTGCAATCATCGTACTGTTGTCATGTCCATGAGTTCTCTCTTTACAAATTTATATTTCAACTAACAAAATTGCACATAAATAAGCATTGAAATATGCACTTAAGAAGCACTCTGATTGTTCACCCAGAGGAAATCGGAACTCGGTAATTCTCAGTGCTTTTACCAAGTCAGCGCCCAGAGGGAAGGGTTCCCAGGCCTGCTTTCCTGCTGGTGAGCCTAGGCTGGAATCTGTGGGAAGGCCAATCCAGATTTCAAGAAAACCACACTTTGTGAACTCTCATAAATGAAGACAAAGGTGGTTTGGGGGAACAAAGGTGGCTTTACTATTGCATTTTATTTCTGTGTACTTGTTAATATCGGGATGATTAATGCTAAACATTTATTTGAAAAACAACAGCTTATGAACTATTGAAACATACACTCTGGTGTGGTCAGGTAAGGGGAACTGTAAGAAGTGAACATTTATAGTTGTTAAAAAAGTCTTTCCCTCAGGTTCATTTACTTATTTCCCGTCACGTGGTCTGTTTTCTTTAAAGGAACAAGAAGTCAAACCAGGTCCCTTGGGCAAATGTGTGGTTGGAAAAGATGTGAAACAAATAGAGAAAAGGGACTCCCCCCCCCCCCCCACTCCACCCAGTGGGAGGGCTTGTGTTTATTTACAGGCTCAGGGAATTACCCCAAATGCCTCACGGATAGGCACCTGCTCTATAGAAAGGAGAAGGTTGACAATCTGTGGTTGGTTGTTCCTTTGCCATTTATTGTTCTGCATGTACAGCTCATGAGCACCAGGTGGCGATGTCCTCTCACAGAGCAACACCAACAACTTCAAAACACAGCAGTTACAAACATTTACATTAGGACAGTCACCTGCCCTCTCCCAGAAACCCACCCCCACTCAATGCCAGTGTCCACAGACAAAGAAAGGGGACAGGACCCTTTCTTGTACCACAATGGGGCCTTCCCCCAGTCTTCTCATGCACACAACAGTGCAATACCAGGATGAGTACTTTTGACCAAGTCTAAAAACCACAGAGGAAAGGAATGAAAACATAAAGGCACACACAACAACATATGCACAATTAATCTTTATGGGATGAGCATCTGACAGGGTTTGTCATCCCTGGAGACCCAGGGAGGGAGGAACTGAGCTGCTGGTGCTAAGACGATGAAAGGAAAGGCATGGAAGTCCCTGCCTTGTCCAGGGAGTTTAGCAGGCCTTCTGGTGGGGACACACCTGTTCAAAGTGCTGGATGCCCAGGGCCTCTGCTGGCAGGGTCCTCACTGAACCCCAAACTGTACCTTTTCAAGCCAGCTCCAGAGAAAGGGCAATGGAATGCTTCCCACCTTGGCACAGTGTTAGAAAGGAAATGCAAGATTCCCTCTGCCCAGAATGTCCCACAAGAAGATGAGAATGAGGTAGCCCCAACTGAGCATCCTCAGAGAGGAAGAGAAATGGGGCACAGATAATCAACGCCCCAGGGGAAAGGCTTGAAGGTCTGAAGACTTACTCTCAAAGTGGCATTTCCCCTGGTATACATCCTGCCTTGTATGCTCTCTGGGGCCCCTTCCCCACCCACACTTTCTTCTGCCTGGTGCAGGAAATCAGTTTCTCCCCATTGCCCATTGCCAGTTGTCAAAGCATGTCTTCTTTCTTCCCCTTCTCCTACTGCACAACTGTGCTTCTATCCACTGACCCTCCGTCTGATTCCTCATCACTGTGGGTGATGAGCCAAGAAGACACTTGACAAGGGTGACGGCAGAGATGGCAGTGGCCCATGGTAAAGCTCTCTATGCCCTCTCCTCTATGGGAGTCTGGTGAGGGCGTGTGTGTGGGGGGTGACATTCAACACTGCAGGGATGTCTTTTCCATTGAGTTTGGGTGTTTCCTTTCCAACAGCGGCAGGAAATGACTCTGTGGTGCAGTGAACTCAGGACCAACCACCCAGTTTGCTGGTGAGATAAATGACGGCTGACTTATGGGAGATACCAGAACCAAAATGGCAGACACAATTCTCCCATCAGAACCCCTCCTGTTACAGCCTATGACTGTCCAGAAGCCAGTGGGAAAATGAGGAAAGGCTCAGCACCAGCGTTTCCCTGGGAACTGGGTGATACTTAGGTAAATCCACTGGTCACAGCTACAGGCCTAACAGCAGCAGCTCTGAAGAGGACTCTTGGGAAAGCTTTGTTTCTGGTTCTAATTTCAGTACCATTTTTTAAAGGTTCTTTTGTTTCAAATTTTCTAGCATCAAAAACCTCCCAAATATTATGAAATATATATGCATATATATACATCAAACCCCCAAAACATGAGGTATATTAATTCAAATTAGTATCCAGAGGAACTTCCCCCAAACACATAGTTCAAAGAACCCACTTTCAAAGGGGAAATTGGGTTTCCCTATTTGATTCCATCTTCTCTACTCCCTGACCCCCAATTCATTTCATAATGGGAGCGAGCCAAAGGCAAGAAGAATGTTGGGGAGGAGATAGATAGGGTCTTGAGACACAACCCATACACAGGTTGGACTAGACCATAAGATGGTGCTAACCCTGTTACGAATGAGCTGAAGAGGCTCTCTCCATGTTCTAAGTCAATCTGCAATAGGTGAGAGAAATGGGATGGCCCAGCACCACAACTGGGCTCTAATTAACAAATTTGCATGGACAGAGATTGAAGCCCTCAGAGAAACCAGGCTGGATGGAGATTGGCTCAGATCCAGTCTTGAAAGAGACTGAAAAGGGGGTCAGTCCAGCCCTCATCTTACACATCTTTTCAAACACAGTTCTACTTAATCAGAATACAAGTTTACTATGTGATGGATTGGCAAAGGGTGAGAGAAGTGGAGGGGCCATGGCTGGGCTTTCTGATCCCCATCAGAATTGGGGTTTGACATCTTGCAAAACAGACTGTGAGAACATGATGTGTGTGTGCGTGCGCGCGCTCGCGCACACACACACACACACACACACACACACACATACATGCATATAGACACACATATGCACATACACAGATGGCACAGAGCCCAGCACAGGCTCTACTCACAGTGACTTGATGAAACTCATGGAATATTTGAGCTGAGTTTGGAAGAAGACTATGGACTCCTCTCCCTGAGGACAGTTCAGATGCTAAATGGGATGCAGGCTCTGTTCTGATCAGTGAGTGGCTGGAAACACCTTGGGATGCCATCCAGAGAGGAATCCCAGAGCCCATCCATCTGCATGAGAGAGAAGCAGATGCCTCTTTGGACTGGTCAATGGTGTGAGGAGGAAGGAGGGCCCAGAGAAGCCAAAGACTCTTATGAGAACTGAGGCCTTTGTCTCTTTGACCCTCTTGGCAAGAAACACTTCCTCACTCTACACTGAGGCATTGATTTCTGATGTCACAGCATTTTAGCGGTTCACCTCTTTGCCCCCCAAACTTGCACAGTGAGATCTCCTCGCCTCCAGCAGAGGAGAGAAAAGCAGAAACTCCACTTTTGGAAGTGGAAGCAGCAAGAAGCCAGCTGAGGCAATGACCCTCAGGCTTCACGAGGCCAGGATATGGAGTGCCATGCACTGTCCACACCCTAAGTGTGCTGACCAGGGGGTGAGGGGCGGTGTTCTTAACTACCCAGCACCAAAAACTCCATGGGAATAGACTGGGGATGGCCCTCATCTCATGTCCCTTTTGTAATTGATGAGGTTTATGAATGACATCCTCTTATTCAATCTGGCTCCCCCCTGTGGCTGGGAGGAATGGGGAATGGAGAGAGGACAAGAGGGGAGATGAGGGAATCAGAAGGGCACTGCTTCAACTTCTACCTTGACTCTCCTTACTTCCTACCCTGTGGTCCCCACAGCCCTTCTCCCCCAAAGCCCTTCCAGTTCAGTCCTTCTCCTGGGCAGTGCTGTCCTCAGAAATGCCCTGGGCAGCCAGTTCAGCCAACACATTATCCAGGTAATTGGCATCTGGGTAGCCATGGCCAGTGAGATTAGAGCCAAACTCTGTCTTGTGGTGGACCTCATTCCAGATGACGGTGTCTGACTCGCCCGTTGTACTGGAGGTACCAATGGCAAAAATGAGGCGGCGATCCCAGGCCACCAGCAGCAACTTCAGAACCTACAAGAGAAAAGGCAGGAAATCAAAGTCAGACAATTAGTATCAATCAAAGGCTATCATTTGAATGGTAGAGAGACCTGTGAAGGTCCCCACCCCTTCCTGCATCGTGACGCCCTAAGTCACATGTGTCAAACACAAGGCCTGCGGGCCAAATCCGTCCCGCCAGGCCTTGCAATGTGGCCCGCACCGCACTGTCATCACTGCACTCCGCTGCGTTTCCATCACAATGACAATTTATGACTGTTCAGTAAACCATTTGGCCCGCGATTTAGGCTGGATTTTAGATTTTGGCCCCTTCTCTGATTGAGTTCGACACCCCTACCCTAAGTGAAGGGAAGATTTGGATGTGGACTCAGGAACATGCAGGTAAGTCTTGGCTCTGTCACTGCCTAACTGTGTGATCTTGGACAAGTTAGATCACCTCTCTGAAATTTAATTTCCTTATTTATAGAACGGCAATGGTATGAGCTGCCTCTAAAGGCTGTAATTTAGCAGGTGCTGCATGAAAAGTAGCTTAATAACTGCCTGAAACACACTATTCAACAAATATTAGCTACCAATATTACAGCTGCATTTTAAAAGTTAGGACCTAGGGGTTCAAGGCACTTCTTTTATATATATAATTTATATTATTAATTTAATTAATTATTAATTTAATATATT